TTTTTGACCAACTTTATTTGATAGCTCGGCCATTTTAACATTGTGAGAAGACAATGGGGCATATGAAAAAATTAATGGTGTTTTTGTGTTATCTCCTTGCGTCGTTAAATAATTCAAAAATTAACTCTTTTAAATTTGATTTAGCATACTATTTAGATTCAGTAGGTACAAGTTACAAGGGTCTAAACACATTAGCCAATATTGGAATAGCCACAACTGCAAGGGCGGTAGACTATAAGAAAAGACAGTTTTCGGCGACACATAAGAATATGTAGAAAAATCACTTGGAAATCATTTAGAAAATACTCTTATGCTGAACGTTGATGATTATCATAACATTCACGTTCAACGATAGCCTGATACTACCAGTACATCTTGGGTGGCACATATAGCGACAATTATTGCAAATCTATGCCCTATATCAGTGATACTACTTAACGGGCACTTAACCCAAAGGTCATTGATGATGAGCTAATTTTGAAGCATCTTGATGAATGATTTATCACGAACCTTGGAATTTCTTATCATGAATGTAGACAAAATTATATAGGTAAGTGTTCTGATGATAAGCTTATAGAAAGACTAACTTTGCACAGTTATGAAAATAGGTTGGCAGAAAAAAAGAGTGACTGATATATACAGAATGCCATTCTTTTTGATTTCATTGAGAGTAAGTTGAAGAGTATTGAAGATTATACAAAAGCTCTTCAAATCGTGTATAATTAAAGGCCAATGCAAGAGTACCTTTCCAATAATGCAATTCCGATTGTTGTGAATTGGCCCGGACAGTTCTTTATTCGCAAAGCTATTGCACATCAGCTTCTTCTCAACAACGAAATAATCTTTCCATTTGTTATAGCATTCATGCCCATGATGGGACCTCTCCACATTTCCTTAAATAGTCGTGAGCTCATTTTTAAGAAGAATTGGTTTTTATTTAACGAGGTTTATAAAGGTATTTTCAGGCAAAAAAAAAAGGAACTTGGTAAGAAGTCACAGCCATGGTAAATTGATTTAATGCTTCATGTTATACATATAGCATGGCTTGATATATCCGATATTATTTTTTCAAAGTTTGGTTGTACATGTAAAAATCTTGAATTTTTATATCTAACCGATCTTCTAAGTAATTTAATTTAGTGCAGGTATGGCAGCTAGTGTGGAACCTAGAGCAGACTACTTAAATAGGTAACCAAAAATTGCATGTATGGCTAGTCGTACTCTCATTAGTTAATAATCAGAGAGCTTAAATAGATAATCTCCTAGTTAGGTTGCAGGTATGGTGGCTAGTGTAGAACCCAGGCAGACTACTTAAATTAGATACCAAAAGTACATGTGTAGCTAGTTGTATCCTTGTAAAATTGATGTAATATCGTATTTATTTGAATAAAGCTAAGTGCCGGGGACCTAAGTGGTCACCTTAATATTAAAAAAAAAAAAAAAAGTAATTTAATTCCCTTAGTCCTTGACGTTTATGCAGTGTATCATCAAGAAGGTAACTGGCTGGCTTATGAAGAAACTTGTATGTGCTGCTGGTGCGATCTTTTTCTTCAATTTAATCGAAGAAATTATAAGCGTGCACCTTTAATATTTTTTTCTGATATTTTTCATTGGATGGAAATCAATCATCCAATGATTAATATAGTTACTAATCACCTTGCTTCTTTGAGCGATTGTCCCATAGAACTTGTTCACAGTATAATTCGACGACATATGAATACGTTTTCTGAAGCAGATCAGTTACAGAAGGCAGCACGTTTTATTTTTCAACACTGGGGAGATAATTCATTTTGGCAATATTTTGTAAATTCGATTAATTATCCATATACTCCCAAGCAATTGCATATGCTCTACAGAAAGTGTGCTATAGTGCTCTTAGATATGTTTAAGAAAATATATTGTACACGCTATGTTTACTCTTTAACCATTAATTCTTCTGATGGTATTAATACATATAAGTTATTTTCATTAGGCTACGAAATAATAGATCGACACCTTCCACGAGGTTTTGTTACCTCTAGAAAACCTTTTACAACTGTTTTGTGCGATTACTTGTATTGCAACCATACTGACTATACAAACTTTTTAGATGATAGCAAAGTTCTTTCATGTGAGCATGGTTACCATAATCATTGTATGGAAAAATGTCAATTTAAGTACATAATTTGTCTCGATTACCTTCAGGATGAAATTAAAAAAAATATTATTGCACTCAAGGTAAGTATGAAGAAAAAATTAGGAGAAAATGAGTTTATCGAAGAGGATGATGAAAATACAATCGATGATGATTTGGGAGATTCTGAAATAGCAACTGATGATGTAACTGCAATAGAAAATTTATCAGAAAATGCAAAAAAATCATTTTCTGAATTGTAAAACTTTTTATTAAATAAAAAAATTATTGCGACATTATTATATTATCATTATTTTAATTATTTAAAAATTATTATTAAAAAAATTATCATGCCATTATTACGGAAAATTTATTAATCAAGACTATAGTATTGTAAAACGTATAAAAAAAATTTTTTTCTAAATTGTGTAATGATCGGGTGACATGGGTAATCATTTCTAATTTGGGATGATCTCCCCTGAAAAAATTTTTACAAACGAAAAACTCCTGCTTATAGCTAGGGTAAGGGTGAGGTTTGGGATTGAGGTGAGGGTTAATTTATACCAAAATTTTGCTATGAATTTTTTTTGTTAGAAGCCAAAAGGTGGTTTCATAATTGAAATTTTAAGAAACAACAATACCCAACAATACCCCATGTATATACACTAGTATACAAATAGTAATTGCCTTTTAATAATATTATTAATTAAATTTTTATTAAACTTACTTCTTTTTTATTTATATTTTATTTAATAATCTATAAAAATAATAATTTATTAGTTTAAAAAAAAAATTAAAAAATTTTATTAAAAAAATTGCTGTTTTTTTTAAAAAAAAAGTGCAAAGTAATAATAAAATAAAAGAAAAACGTTGTAACGGTCTTTTTACGTTACATGTCACGTGATCGTTGTGCAAAAATCAACGGTACGCCTTTTTTGGACGTTTTGGCGATTTCGGCATTTTTGGGTGTGACATTCGGCATGTGTCGAATAAGCATTTTGTATTAAATCGTATTATAAAATGCTTATTCGTCACATAATTTTGGTCATACCCTAAACGCCAAATTGCTTTTTTGGACGTTTTAATAAATTTGGTATTTAGGGTGTGATCATTCGTAAAGTGACGAATAAGCATTTTATAATAGAATACAATATAAAATGCTTATTTGTCACATAATTTTGGTCACATTACAAACGCCAAATTACTTTTTTGGCCGTTTTATTAAATTTGGTGTTTGGGGATGCGACCAAATGTATGTGACAAATAAGCATTTTATATTGTATTCAATTATAAAATGCTTATTTGTCACATAATTGTGGTCGCATCCCAAATGCTAAATTCACCAAATCGCATTCTAGTTAAAAAAAAAAAACACTCCCGCTTGCGCGGGGGTATGCGGGGCATGCACGGGTATACACTTTTTGCCTGCTTGCGTAGGCAAAAAGACAAATAAAAATTACTCTCTACATTTGCATATTTTCTATATACAACCGTTTTTTATAGGTCCCGATGGTGAGATTATATGGGGTGTAACTGTATTTATATCTCATGATATATCAGACTGCTTTTAGTGGTTTAATCATCATTTCTTCCTCTACAACTTTAATTATAAGTGGGGAGAGGTCTACTTAGTAAAAATTAAGAGACATTTTCAAAACAATCTAAATCTGGTCATGTTTTCAGATCATTTGGCCTATTGTAGATGAGTTTTAAACTCATCATTAGGCCAAATAATCTGCAAATTTGACCAGATTTAGATTGTTTTAAAAATACAATAATCATCACATTACATGAAATCATACAATTACGTCATTTGTTTACTAGCACTAACAAATCGGCCTAAACCGGAATTATTGATTTTGAAAGTTTTTTTAAAAAAATCCAGCATCAGTTATTATTTAACCGTCAATTAAACCGCTCTGCTAATAATATTATTGTACGGGTCTTATGTGACAACCCGTGCTTTTTTCATTTGGTTATTGCACGGGATTGTTACGTCAGACACCGTGCAATAAGATAGTTATTATATGGGTATATGAATAACCCAGTTACACACACGGGTTCATATTTAAATCCCGTGCCTTCGGCACGGAATATGAACCCGTGTGTAACTGGGTTATTCACACATACCCATACAATAACTATAATATAAGTAATAGTTATATCCTGGGCAGTTGGGTATAACTATTACTAATTAAATATATATATATATATTATATTAATAAATATTCCACAATAATTAAGTGGAATTTGTGAGAATCAAGTTCTATTATTAACTAAAAATAAATATCTATCGATCTCTATATTAAAAAAAGCTAATTAAAAAATTTACTAATTAAAAAAAAAAATTATATTTACCGTAAATTCTCAAAATAACGTGCATCTGCGCGTTATTTCGATCACCCGCGCGTTTTTGAATACGCCCATGTGCGTTATCTCGAGATAAAAGGGTCAATTTCAAACTTTGATTATTACTATATTATAAATTCATACATATGCTACATGAGGTGCGCGTTATTTTGGGACGTTATTTCGAAACTAACTATGCTATTTTTAAGGGGCGCAATTTTCGAAATAACGTTATTTTGAGAATTAACGGTAATTCATAATAAGAACAATTGTTTAAATAATTTTCAGAGTATTTTTTTCAAATCACTTCTCGTCACTCTAACCATTAACAAAAAGATGAATGAAAGGTCTAATGACAACTTTCGTTTACTGGAACTGCCATATTCTCCAATTCTATCCAGTCAACTTTTTTAATTCTAGTAATTCTCATTGACATTTAACCAATTTCAAGTACTATTCATTCTTGATACTGCCTACATTATGAAGTGCTATTAGAGACACAACGAGAAGACTCCTCTTGTTTAATAACTAACAAGAGTCATGGTCCTAATTTTTTAACATTAAACTGAGTTTGAAATTCGATTACTTCTGTTTGAACTTTAATGTGATCTTCAAACTCAGTTTTCAAATTTGAAGGACTTGACAGTGTTGACTGGAAGGTTTTAATCAATTCTGTTGGAATTAAATTTAATATAATCATCGAAATGCTTCAATGCTCTTCTAATTAACTAAATAATGGAAAGCATTGAAATTGGAATTTATTGGGAAACTGGTGCATTCAATTTTTCCAGTCAACAATAATGCTTAATCGAAAGAATTTTAACAACTGATGCATTTCCTTTGTTGTCTTCACTTGTATTTTTTTTCGAGTCACTATCACTTTAAAAAATTTTTGCTACAT